CATCTTCCATGTCAAACTGAAGGAAAGAACAGAAATTCCACCTGACACCGTCCATCATGTGCAACCTCTGGTACTGGACTAGCCACACCTTCTTTCACCCCTTTCAAAATCACACACTCTGTATCAGGAAGCATTTGTTTTCGGAGACTGAGTAGGGAAGGGATGATGCCACAGAGCTGCTCTTTGCCTCATACTCTTGGCTCAATGCCTGATCTTGCCCAACTAAACAAATATCAGGATCAGACCTTTGGCCTGGAGCATCTGTGCTAATGAGAACTTCAGGGATTAGTCACAGTATTGAAATGAATACTCCCATCTCCCAGGAAAAGTCCAGAATGTGCCTGCTATGCACTGCTCTATGCTGGGGGAACTGAGGAGCTGTGCCTTGCTCAGAGATGGAGCTGTGAAAGGTATCAGGCATGAATGTGAGACAGAACAGCTATCCCATGTGCCTCAGCACAGATGGGCAGGGGCACGTTAAATTGACATGGGGACTGTCTGCCTCTTCTACTTCCCTTAGAATTTTGTCACGCAGCCTCAGCCTGGCTGAAAGAGAGTATGCCTATAGAAAAATATCCCAACAGTATCTTTAAAAAAGGACCAAACTAATGAGTGCATGTGTACCCAGGCAACAGCTCACCACTGAGCCTTCTCACTGGGACTAGTGTGCCCTCTTCATTGTGCTCTTCTTTTCAATTGCCCACGGAAAAATGGGTAGAAGAGGTAAACAGAGACATCTGTCCATGTCCATTTCTAACCAACACAATCTCCGACTCAGTGGCGGGGGAGAGAGTGGCTCCTGACAGTGAATCAGAGCTCAGGGGAAGCAGACAAGGTGGCTTTGGTCTAGGGAAGGAGGCGGCTGTGACTCAAACACTGCGTACTGATGAACTGCAGCAATCTTTCCATTTCCCTGCTAATTAAAGGGGATTTTGTTCCCAAACCAGCTTGCTATGGTCCATGTGGTGTACACTGTGGCTACACTAAACTAAACTCTCAACAGGGAGGTGAGAAGTAAGATCCCCCTCAGAGACAGCAAATTTCCAGAACGCTTAAACTTAATTTTCTTCCCACAATATTTTTCAGTTGTAGATGATACAGAGGCTTTGATTTAGAAAGTGGAAAAAAATCCAACCCGAAATGGCCAACATCAATCATAAGATGCAATAAAATATTCATTATATACAGCATCAAGGTGAAACCTCTACATGCCTGTGAGATAAAAAAGTACCAAGGGCAACAGTTTATGCTACATGCACTAGTACATAAATGAGAACTCCACACAAGAATAAAAGATGCACACAGCTGATTCACATTTCCAGGGTAACAGTTCATTGGGTAATACAACTTTCAATTGTAGTGGGGTGGCAGTGAATAAACTTGCAGCGTACCTTGTAAGCAGTGTACAGCAGCACAATATAATCACTGCACTGTGTAAAAAGAATTCATACCTACCCACTGTTGCCTCTTAAGAATCTGTCTGTCATTTCTGAAAGATTTATTTTTGTTTTGATTTACCAGGGTCTAATATTTCCTAGAATAGTTCTAAAGTTCACTCACTATTTTGGTCTTATCAGTGGGAGATGATTTACAGATGTATCTAAACAAACAGGCAGAAACCATTTGTTTCTGTTTCAAAGCTGACAACAATGTTATTAACATCAGTGTATTACAAAACTATTTTGCTTGATGCACTTAGAATAAATGGAGCTTCTATTAGGAGGGCAGTGGACTGATACACCTTCATTTTTAAAATCAGCCACAAAACAGCCTGGCATGAAGGAAAACTCTCCGCACACAAAATTCCTCTTCTCTCTGCAGCATAGGTGGAGCATTTCATTAACACCTATGTCCTGTGATAATTCTGATAGGAAAGCTAGGAGTGAAGCTCCACCATGACACTAGTACAGAGTACAGAAACAAAGAAGAGTGCCATATTATTCACAAACTAATATTCAGCAGTGTAAGTATATGCTTGCAGTGCATTTCTTATTCTGCTTTACTAAAATCAAAGTGAGTTCTCCTATTGGCTTGAACAGCATTCCCTTTTCCCTCAAGGATATAGATCTTCTCAGTTCTGCACGGAAAATTCAGCATCAGCCATTTATACAAAAGTAACAGCATGAACGCCATAAATAGTGAAATAATTTATGCTATCAGTCAACTTCCCTGAGAGCTTCTTGCTGCTTTCTGCTGGTCATTATGTGGAGATATTTCAGCTCTTTCAGTCTACTCACTCTCTGCACCTTTGCCAACAGCAATCATTGTTTCAGTAACTGACATCCTCTCAACCTGTGCAGCAATATCCTGTCCATCCAGCAGGTTGGGGCAAACTAGAAGGATTCAGCTCCTTGGGCAGCATTTTCTAGATGCTGAGAAGCAGCCCAAGCATAGATAAATTGATTGGATGTAATCTACAAGCTATCAGTGTAACTGTGATCTCATATGACCTTATAACTTCAGTACCAACAGTGTTTGTCCATTCTTAGTAATGCAAAAAGACTGTGAAACAGATTTCAATCTTCAGAGGGCAGATAGGCTTTCTAGAAAGATTTATGAAACCCTCTGAATAGAGTAAAAACATGTCACGGGGCTTTCATTCCACAGACTTTGCTCCCAGTATATCAAAATACATCACCCAAACTTAAGAAAGTGATAGAAGGTGATAGAAGGCAGCAGCATTATGCCATCAGCAAGGCAGTTAACAAATGTGCAATTTGGCAGAATGTACAGTTTATGTCTGTTTGTTACAGTCTCTCTTTAATGCTCTCAGAACTATACTTTCTGAATACATGCTGTAAAGACAAGTGGTATTTTTTCTCATTTCATATATATTAATACTTTGGTTTCTGCTTTTTGGGTTCTATGTTACAGGCTATATTTAGCATTTGAAAAGCTTTTAAATATGTATTACATGATACTGATTGTGTATATTAAAACATCAGCTTCCTTTCCCTTGCATTTCTACAAGTGCTTGGATGTTTTTCTTGTGAACCACATTGCAGCTAGATCCTTTGTAACTTGAAGCTAAACCTAGTAACATCATCCACTGCAGCAGCAAGATACTTCCCCTGTAGAGTAGGATACAATGATGATGACATAATGCTGTGGTTCCCAAATCCCAAACCAGCTGTTACTGGTATATGCATTCAAATTCACTGTTCTCGTGTAAAAGGCACAAAAGCCTGGGACCTGATTCAGTAAATGATTTATTATCTTGAATATATAATCCTGGGACTGAGCTTATGCATGTCTTCGCCCATAGAGTGAGGAAAGGTAATTTAGGCAGTTTCCTACTGTAATGTAACTGAGAGTGTACTTCCATTCGCCCAGAAACAGTAGTTATTTTCTGCCAAGTAACATGGGATCTGCTAACTAATTTTGGACTGAAGGAGCAAATAAGAGTTGCCAATTTTTGGCAATTATTTATTCTCCCTGTCAGATATTCATACTAATTCCTTCATCTGCTGAAGATGAACATAGCAGTGCATCACTCCCATAAACTAGACTGCACTGAGCGACACAGTACGTATACAAGCACTACTAGGTGTATTATATTGGGAATTTTAGGTAAATAAGGGTAATAAAATGCTGAAATGCTTATAGATCCTGCAAGAAGCTAAATTCTTTCTGTGCTATCTTCTCATGAATATTTGAGAATATTAACTCAATAAATGAAAGTCAGTTTCAAAGTCGTTTCTCCACATCAAGTCTAAAGCAAAGAATACCACAGAAGCAACTTGAGACCTATGAGAAAGCTTTTTCCTCTACAGTAAGTTGCTTTGATGGAGTACAAAATCCACCTCTCCTTAAATCACTAATTTGCAAGCCAGCATCTGTCTACATCAGTTGATAGTCTTGCTTTAAATCCATACTAAGTCAGATCTCTCAAATTCTTAAACTAATCCCCATCTTCTGTATTATGTTATCGCAGCAATTTGATTCCACAGTTACAGTATTCATTTACCCAGAGCAAAGCTAAAGTGAATAAATATCCTGAATTTTAGCAGGCAAAAATACTTCCCCAGTGTAATGCCATTATCCTGATACATCAGGAACGAATTTAACCTACTAAAGTTTGGTACAACACTATCAGTGAGAGCAATATCTACTCAAGTTATGTTGTCTTCCTTTGTAGATTGACATCACTTGTAATCAAGCATTTAATTATGTGCAACTTTCCTTGAGCATACAGGTAGGCAGAGAAATAAAGAAATGAACTGTAGAACAAAATGTCCAAATCTTCCAAAATTCAAGGACTTCTCAAAAAAATGAAAAGAAACTTGAATTCTTTAGAGGGGAGGTACAGCCATGCACTGAGTCATGAATCACTGGATATGTTACAGCCAAGTGATTGCTGATCAATCCATACAGATAGAGTAGCATCAATCAATCCTGCATCTGCAACCATCCGTATGAAACAACCCTACAGAAGTCATGAAAGATCATTGCCAGTCCTATTGCTGTGACAGGCTGATTTATTAAGCTTTGAAATTGCCTTGATGTAAACAAAAAAATTTATCAGGTAAACCCAGAACAGGAACACTTTAGAAAAATAAAAGGGTTGTACAGAGCTTACGCAAATGTGCCCTTCTTCTGTAGCTCTGCTTCTTTAACTAGAAAGGCTATCAACAGTCACTATAAGAGTTTGTAGAAGCCAGAAAGAGAGGTTGGTGAGAAAACAAAACAATGAAAAAACAAACCAAACAGGCTATTCCAAAATTTATCTTTAGGAAATTACAACAATTCTATAAAGTCACAGACCCTATCAGACCCAGGAAAGAGCTTCAAAAGCTCCTCCTATGCCAAGATGCTTTCCACACATGGAGGGAGTTTTACTTGTACAACCTGGTCAATCATTTAGAAGTAGGGCTTTAACATTTTGAATGAATAAGTCTGAAACAATAATCATAAGAGCAAGGAAGATGACAATATAACTATTGTTGGTAGAGTAAGAACATAGCATTAATAATGCTGTTGCAAAACGTATGTACTCTCACCCAGATAGGAAACTCCTTCTTCTGGTGTGATTGTTCCATATTTAACCATCATCTTCACAAAATCAATCAGGGTTTTCATGATGGTTATTAAGGTCTCTTTCTCTTTTGTCTCTGTCTCTGCATGAGGGGATAAAGCAGAAGTAGTTCAAAAAGCAGGTCGGTGGGCAGATAAAGGCACAGAACTACTTATACTGGTTTGGCTCTGTATCACAAATAGTTCAGAGACCTTTTGGTTTGCTAGCAAACTTCTCAAATAACAGTGCACAAGATCATGACTAGGGTACTGGGAAAACAGTTAATATTACATGACTACGAAGATTGTGACTTCAGAATAGGACATAAACAATGTTTTACATGATAAAAATTGATGTTTATTGAACATACTATTTCTGACTATCCTCATGATCATAGATTCTTAGCTTTCCGTTTCTACTGCATCTGCTAAGCAACATTACTGCCATTTCTGCATTAGCAGCATAACACTCTCCCCCCACACTGTTACACAAGCAGCTTCTGCATCTCAGGTTGTCACCGAAGGATCCAGCAGAGCCAGGTGCTCTGTTAGACAGGGACAGTCAGAAACATACTCTCAGACTTGGCAGAGGACCAATCTCTTTGGAGAGCTACTGAACAGGTTTTCGTATTGCTCTCTGCAATTTAACACAGGTCTGTAGGATGCAACTAAATCTCCTCACCTCCAGCTTGGTAAAAATTGGCAGGTGAATAGGATAAAGCAGGAGACAAGACAGAGATGTGTAGTCAGTGGAACCCAATTCTATTTGCTTGATTGCCTCTTAAACTCAACATATCTTTCTGCTTTGTGAATAGAAAAAGGGGAAGAAAAGTATGCAAAACTACTAAGGGAAAATAAAAAGAACAAGAAGAATATGAGGTTTCTAGACTGGATTTCAGCAAAATATGCCTTTGGGTTTTTCATCCTACTTCTCCATTCAAGTGTTTATAGGGACAGTCTCAGGAAAGACTAAGGCTCCTGCAGGACAAAGGATCTACAGAATAAATTGCTGCTGACTGTGCTGAAGGTATGCTGGCTAAGAGAGTAAGAGCTGGTGTGTGGTGGAGCATGCTGACAAAGGGACTGTGGCAGAGTGCCACAATCTTGCCTGCACTAATTGGAAGGCAATAATGCCTAGCACCGGAATAGGAAGAGACATGCAGAGCTTTCACTGCAATAAACAGCAAACCTGTGGTTTGTGAAAAGGCTGGGAGGCTCAGACTTATTTACTGGTAGCATGACTGCAAGAATTCTACCCTGACTTGCTTGTATTTCTGTTGGCATAGGAGACAAGGACATTACGGGAAAGATCAAAGGAGAAGACAGTTTTCCAGTTCTCCATCATGCCATTACAAGAATTGAAAGAGTTTAGGATTCCTGAATCACGTGTCTAAAGACAGGATGGAATACACACGTATCCCGTCGTGCAGTTTTGAGTACCACTGCTCCCAGTGTTTTGCCAACAAAATGGGTGTCTGGTATGTGACTTAGAGAACATTTTTAAATAACGTGGTCTCCTGCAACTAGGGGTGTCGTGGATAATACAGGGGAGCAGTGCAGGAGAAAACAGGAAATCTAAGCGCTCTAATGGAATGATAATAGCAGGCTGGCAAAGTCTTTAGCTACAGCAGATGAGAATGAGCCCAAATACAGCTGCCACAGGTGCAGAAATGAAGGAAAAGAGCTGCTTATCTTAGGTAGGCAGGGATCTCCAGCAAGAGAGGCTCTTGCCTCCAATGACAACCCTTAAATGAGGTGTGGGAAGGGGTGAATCCTGGCTGGACCCCTTCCAGTTCATTCAGGTGCATTGAATTGCATGCACCCGAGTTTCCCTGGGTTGGCTCTGCTTTCCCACCAGGTGTTCAATCACTGATTCAAGCCGTTACGTAACACTTGCACTAAACTCCTAGTTTCCTAGTTTTTCCCAAGATATGACTGTAAACACATGACAAACTCACCTGAGTTAAGACTTTTTAATAGTGCATAAAAGTTTGGAAAGTACTGGAGGTCTTCAAAATCATCTTCAGAAGGCAGCTCATTTCTTCTTTCCAAGATATTAGATGATGACCATGTGTTATCCAGTGTATCATCAATTTCCCCATTGATGAAACTATCCTGATCAGATTTGCTTGATGCCTCCACAACACACACAAAAATAAATAAATCTGTAAGCACATTGCTTTAAGTGATAGAGTAATGAATAGCATCATAATTATATACTGACATTTTCCAGGTGAAAATGAGATTTTTTTCTCAAACTTATTTCAATTTGGGATCTGGCTTTAAAATTCGATGTAATTCACTATTTGTTTTTGTCTCATATTATTTCTTTCTGAACATTGAGCTATTTATCAGCTAAAGGAAAGCAGTCTGGTGGACTATTTGTATTGTTCGGTGAATGAGTCCAAATTATTAGCTAAGTAATTACCAATTTTTCCTGTTGCTTTTCCTTTGAATCACTGTCTGCTCTGCTTGGAGGGTAATCAAAATCTTCAGGCTCCTTCTCACGATCCTTTGCTTCATTTGCAATTAGCTGTTGTAAAACCTCTGCCACTTCATCTTCCAGAGTGTAGGCCTGACTCTCTGTGATCTGTTAAAACATTTGTGCAGAGCATTTACAGAGCATTGCAGTTTTCTTAGAATTAAGGTCAATATGAAACCTGAACTTTTAACAAGTTGCTTTGTATCTGTTTGCTTCAAAGCTCAGCATAGCCAAATTAGGTGTAATAACTTCTCTCTTGTAGATGTGTATATACATACATATACATAAAGACATGGACACATGCCTATATATAAATGTACATATATGTACACATATACAAACACATATCAAATATATGTGCATACATACAAACTCCTACCTACACATACAGCCTCCAAGAGGAAAATGTAACCCCATAGGAGTTAGAGCAATAGAGTCCAGTTTGAAGAACTGTTTAGTAACCAAAGTATATACATACAGAGCTCTGCAACTGAGTATGTATTTTTGAACAACAACAATGGAATATGGTAATATCGAAAGGGAAAATGCAAATAGCTTTCTAGGTCATCTTCAAAATGGTTTTTTTCTGTGCTTTGTATCAGCTGTCACTTGAAAGACAACACTTTAATGTAGCTGTCCCTACACACCTTCCTTTGTAATCAATAATCAGTAAGAGCTGATTCAAAATCTCATGCAGAAAATATAAGAAAATATGAGTAGATTAAAATATAAGGATTCCATATCACAGTGGCTAAAACCATTGAGATATCCAGAAATTAAAGTCAAAGTTAGCCTCGGTACAAATCAGCAACAATGAGAAATGTACCCTCAGCTAATCAGCATGATCATATGTCCACTGATTGAAATAATTAGTAGGTGGGCAGGAATGAGCTCAGACCTTTCTCCATAAATATCCTAAAGTAATAGAAAATAATGAGCAGAGATATTACAAGGAAAAAAATAGGGCAAATATGGGAGGAGTAGAACTGGCATTTTCTCCTCATCAGAAACATTCTGCAGTTTGGCATATTGTGTTGCAAAGCCAACCTAAGAACATCAATGCTGTTGCAGACAAACTGATGTGCCCAAACAGTCAAAGAGCTTGCCTTCAGTCTGAATCTCATTAATTTTCTCTCAAGTTCACTGGACACAGAGTTTGCGCCAACTGTTTTTTAAAAGAGCACCAAAGCATCCCACAAGAGAGCTACATGAAATATGAACAAGACACTTACAAGCCCCAGATTGAGAAGTTTGGAAACGATCTTGTCAAACACTCCTCTATCGTTTTCCTCATAAATCCTCGTAGCAATTTTTTGAACAATGTCCTCAGCAGTCAAGGGAGTGCCATCTAATTGATGAAGGCCATCTGGATCATCTAAAAGGATTACAGTTTAACTGTGTGCTATCTGTCCTAACTCACTTGGATTAGATTTCTTGCAAAAATATTTGCCTGTATTCTTTTTCCTTCTTCAGAACAAAGCCATGCTCATTAAAATATTTGGAATACTCTTTGCTACACACTTTGCAATGCATTACATCAGTATCAAAGAAATGTTATTCAGGTCCATTTACTACAGCTGAAAAGTACCTCTAAGACTGGCTCCTTTGAAAGAGCACAGAAAAATGTCAGGAACAAACTGTAAGTAAATTTGTAAGAGAGAATACTGCTCACCCATAGATCCATATCAAATAATATGCATAATAAGCAGCATATTACAGTCTTATTTGGATTTCAGCAAATTAAGTTTTAATTATTTAATCATTACTTATGGGAAATAATATCATCATGACCACTGAGAAAGTGAATGTGATGAGTAAGCTTTGACCTGTGATTAGCACACCTTGATATAATTAAAAATACCCTGAACTAAATGCTTCTCCCAGCTCTCAGAGGACTCACTTAAACTACAAGTCAATTAACTACTCCTATAGTAAGGGCACATTTCTTTGGCCTTCACTGGCTGCTTTTAGCTATATGATGAGGAGAATCATTTAACAGACTTAACATTTGTAATGAATGTATACAATTTAGCTCTGTATAAAAGTGCTTTTCCCTTTCAAAGCAGAATAATTATATTTTCATTTAAAAATATGTCCCATTTTTTTCTCCATCAGATCTAAAGCTCTAAAAAACTGAATGCAAATTACAGTTGGATTTTTCTCCATGGAAGAAGACTGTAATAATCAACAGTAGCAGTTCTTTTGTATTGTATTTCAAAACCAAATTGCAGTATGACAAGCTTCTTCAACTGGAAATAACTGAAACTTCACTGCTGCAATGAATAGAACTCATAGTGATGAACGCAATATCTGTGACTGTAATCAGTTTGCAAGAGAAATCTAACCTAAAAATTACTTAAAGATTTTTACAGAATACCTTGGAATTTATAATCCAGCCCACTTTTAGTAGAGTCATAGTCATCCACGAGCCTGCGGTTCTTGGTGGAGTCTGCATCATCAATGGCCAATTGCTGTTCATACAAAGAGCTTCTAATTGACTCCCTCTCTTTTTCATTCCTCTCTCTTTCTGCTACTGACTTTAGCAGGTTCAAGTCATCAACAAAGGAATAATTCCTGAACTCTGGCTTATTTTCTGGAAAATACATACAACATGGAATCTTATACCTCTTCGAATACCATTATGAAGAATAACAAAAGAGAGAGGGATGTTTTACCTGTGGGAGCTATCTTTCTGTTCTTGTCTGCCTCAGCTTCAGCAATCTGATATACAAAAAATAAAACAAAAATCATTTAAAAAACAGAGGCAGAAGGAGCAAAATAGACTAAAATGTATGATATCTTACTTTATCAATAGCAGCCAAAGCTTTAATGCTTGGTCTTCATTCTAACTAGGAATTTGGCTTAATTGTACACACATAAGCTCTTGCCATTTCTTAGCAGTACCAACACACCCTCTGACTAGAATCAGATAACGCAAGAGACTGCACAGACTTTCAACTTTAGGGTAAATACCAGTTATGTTTTCCATTTTTAATGCAAGCTCTGAGTGTACTCCCCTAGGATTTGAGCACAAGGGAGTTCCTCACATGTGAGCTGTTGGAGCTGATGACCTGCTTTGGAGAAGATGACAATATATATATATATATATATATATATATATATATATATATATCTTAAAAATTATTGAAAATCTATTCTGTACTTAAAATACAGCAGTATTTACTGAAGAATCTACTTGTTTGTCATTTGCTAAGCCAGCAGGATATTCATGCATATTTCATCTGAGTGCTGAAAAGGTTATGAGAATACAAATAAGAGAAAACAATTAGAATATTTTTAATATTACGTACCTGTTCCTCCAAAGGTCTCTCTACACTTAATTGCCTGTTGTGTATAGCTTTATCTAGAATAAACAAGTGTATTCAGTTACAGGATGCACATGAATCCAAGGAGGCAGCACAGTTCTTCTTAATTTCTACTTTTCTCACATAAAACCTGGTATCTCAAATACGATCCCAACTGCAAGTTCTTGTAAAAATGTCTTGGAGAGCAAGAATAATAAGTCAAACATTTAAACAAAGCACAATTGATTGGGGCAGAGGGAGAGGTTCTGAAAATGAGGTAACAGAAACACAGTAACCCCTTTCTGATGAGAAAACATAAGGAAATTGGGAGAGGAACACAGTAAGAGATTGACTAAAATAGCAATAATCGGATTGGCACAAGCAAGATCTTAGAAATCTGATAATCCAGAGTGTCGGGAGGACGGCGAGCGAGAGCTGGGCACCGCTGCAGCGCGGCCGGGAGCACCGCCGCGAGCAGAGCGCCTCAACTCCGCTCCACCTCTCTCTCCACTTCGGTATCACACTGCAACTCCAGCGACACACTGTTTTGCGCCTCCAAAGATATTCCTTAGGATCTAACCGCTTTTAGCCAAGCGAGGGGAAAGTTTTTGCTTTCCTTCACCAACACCCCGCAAAACTTTCCTCATCTCGAAGACAACGGGTTCGTAAAGAGGCTTACCTCTGCCCGCGGGCTTCGGAAAGCCGTGCGCCCGGCTCGCCAACAGCGACAGCACCTGCAGCGTGACCGCCAGCTTGAGGAGCATCCTGCAGCCGCCCAGCTCCGGAGCCAGACCGGCTGCGGTCCCGCCCGCACCGCACCGCACCGCCCCGGCCGCCGCTCAGCGCCGCGGAGCCGCTGCTCGCCGGGCGCTGTCCAGCGCCGCGGTGCTGAAGCCGCAAGAGCCGCTCCGGCAGAACTCGGCCCCGCTCTCTTCCTCGCCCCGCGCCCGCGGAAATGGTGGAGGCCGCCCCGCAGCCCGCCCGGCCGGGGGAGGAGACGGGGGAGGGCTGCGCCGGCGGAGCATGCGCGGCCCGCAACGCGCCTGGGGGGCGGCAGCCGCAGTCACTGGCCACCCCTGCCCGCTGCCGGCGCGGGTTTAGAGGCCTCCGAATGGGGCAGCCGAACACCGGGGTACACGAGCCAGAGAATGGGGTGGCGTGGCCTCACCTGCCCCGCCGCCTTTTGAACAGCTGAAGGCTTCGGAACAGGCCAAGGGCAAACCCGATCAGCTGGGCCACACAGATGCGGAGGCTTTAATGTGTCAAACGGGAAATGCTGTGCTGCAAAGCATGAAATGGAAACCCGGTTCTGTGTTGAAGGCCAAGGAATCACATACCTACCAACCCTTTCCAAGGGCTCAGTGGCAGTGTAAAGGCACAGCCATCAATGAATCTTCACTACAAAGACAAGATCAGAAGTTTAACTGTAGCACATCTAGTTCTATTAAATTTAGAATTAAAAAAGCACAGATGGCAATAGGCACATAGGCTAATTCTGAACATTTCCATAAATGAAAATGTATCCCTCTGAGGCACAGAGGAGCAGCAAATCCCCAGAGACCTGGGGAAGACATTTTCCCATTTTACAGAAGAACAAAGGATCACAGCAGTGCTTTTCAGAACCGCAGGATCTGCTTCCAGCATGGAAGATAAACAACGGCAGTCTTTCTTTAAAAAAGATCTTTTCACTTTGTAGTCATAAGGGCAGACATGCAGGGGTCAGCTGAAAACATTTTAACTGAGGAATCTTGGAGTGCCACAGTGCTTAATGCAGTGACTGCTAAAAAATAGCTAAAACTGGCTATGCAAAGACATAAAGGGGATCAATGCACATATAACTGGAATCCAAGAGCATTCAATCTCTTATAATAAAATTATTATAGTATAAGCTGGGAAAAACAGCAGTTAGGAGAATGACCAGTAGTTGTACCAAAAAACCCAAAACAAAACAAACAAAAAAAACCCATTACAATTCCTTTATTTTCCTGCTAGCAACCACTATACTTAATACTCATGTGTTTCCATATTGTTTACATTAAATACTGGCAAGATCTGATACTCTAGGTTATGTCAGGATTGCTTCATTAAATTGATGATCCACAGATTCAGAGAAAAGAAAATAACTTTCAGTAGTAACTCGCAATCCTCAACTATAGTATGGCTCCTATCTGTGAAGCTGTTCCATAGTTAGAAATTATAGGATATTTTAGATAAAAACATTTTGAGCATGGTTGTATGTACAAACAATAAAAAAAGCCTAATTTACACATTGCCTGACAACACACAGGGAAAATTACTATATTAAACAGATTCTTTTTCCTCCTGTTAGGAGCACAGAAAACAAGCAGATTCCAGAAGAAAGTGTTGTCTTCTTACTCTGCCATCCTCAGCATATATATACACATCAGCAGAAATCCTGAAAGTGCAGAATACAACGGAAAAATGAAAACATCATTTCTAACTTTAATGTGGTTTGACTTTCTATCTCAGTTTTGTATTAATTCAATAGTTCATTGCCTATCAGATGTTCTCAAGAGTTAAAAAAAAAAAAAAGTACTTTCTCTTTGTTTACTCTTTCTGACATTTATTTCTATCCCACTTCCAACATTTCCCACAATACATTGAAAATACACATCCATTTATAGGACCATAAACCTTTAGTTATTCAGAGAAACGTCACCATACAATACCAAAGCAGTAAATGTACTTTAAATATACAGCAATCAAGATAGCTGTAAATACATGAGATCAGAAAAGGAACTCTAGTTGATGGTAATACTGCAAAAATCTCGTTGGTTAAAAATATACCTATCTGTGTCGTATGTCTACATTTGGCTTTTTGTCTATAGTGCTATGTCCAAATGCATCCCAATGCATGTTTTACATTATACACTTGTTTATAAGATCAATGTTTCTATTTCCATTTCCATAATGTAGAATTTTTTTTTACGTTATTTCCCAATTCTACAATGTCTGTTATTTCCCTAGAGCTAAATCACCTTCTGCTTCTCTGAGCCTCTCCAACAAGAACCAGCACAGAACTCTGCAGCAGCTGAGAGTGACAGTGGGGTAGAGAAAGGAATTCCAAATCTGCCTTCATCGAAGCCAAGCCTAAGAGTTGAGACACTCACGAATCATTTCCGCTTCAGCCAGGCAACACAGATGGTGCATAGAGGTGCACCCAGACAGGCAAGCACTGAGCGCATCTGCAGTGCCATGCTCTACATTTGCATATTTGACTCAGTACTCCTTGCTGGTGCCTTGGTGAGCTTGTATGGCATGTGACAGCAAATGATCGCTGCTAATTACAAGAAAATGCATTTAATCATCATAGAAAAATGACAAGTTAAAAGTGCTGTCTTCAGCTCTCGCTATGTCTCTGTTTTTGTTTGGCATCATTTCCATCACGTACTGTTACACACTCCACAGTGCAGAGCAAATTCAGTGAAGCACGTAAGCTCTTCTATTTTTTGGATTCTATTTTGGCTCAAGCGGAACCAACCCATTTTCTACTCAAGATCTATTTATTTCCAGTAATGATTCATGAGCCAGAAAGAATACTACTTGCCTATCAGATGCCAAGGAGAACTTACAGGAATGGCAATTAGAATGCTTTTATTGTGGTGAACACAGTTGATACAGAGCCTTGTGAAACAGCTGAAATGCAGCTGCTCAGTGCTATTTTTACTGTTGTTTTATAACCACACTTCAAGGCTTTCCATCTAGCTGATGAAAACAGAAAGGAGATGAAAGAAGAAAAAGCAACAAACACTGCCAACCCACCTTGCCAAGATGGTAACATTTCCATACTTCAGTGGATGTGCTTTCTCTGCTTTATCTCATGTTATGGCAATGATGTTTCGAGGACTCTATTGCCTAAAAGGAAAAAAAAAAAAGGAAAAGATCTACTGGTGATTTTTCTGCTAGGCATCAGGAATACCTGTAACCTCTAACAGCGAGTCACGTATTTTGCAGTCTTGCGCTATGAATAGAAGGGTTTGGGTGGGAAGGGATATCCTCAGCCACCGCACAGCTTACAGGAGAAGAGCTTTACAAAATGCCAGCATTTCAGCTTCGCCTCGTGGAAATGCCGGCTTCCAGCATCCTTACAAGTACGGAGCTCCGTTTGTTCCCGTGTGGCTTTTTTCTGACATGAAACCATCGTATGGCTTCTCACTTCAGCATGACTTTCTGACCAGACATGTTTTGGGAACAGTAAAACCGTTTTTATTTGCGAGAAAGACAACTCAGTTGCTTCCCCACCCGTTTATAGGAGAGGCACCGACACAACAGCAGAGCGCAGCTCGGACCGCTTCCACGCTACTCGCTACTCACTCCCACCGCCCTTCCCGCCCCAGCGGCCGGCGCAGCGCCCCCTGCCGCCCGGCGGCGGCGTCACACTGCGGGCGCCCCGGAAGTGCGCACTGAGGTGGGCGGGGCCGCGCCCTTCGCTTCCGGTCGGGGGCTCGCGGGCCGTGGCGGCGCTGTCATGAGCGACGTTGTGGAGCGCACGCTGGGCGCGCTGCCTGCGCTGCTGGGGCAGCACGAGCCGGGCGCGGGGCCGGGGGGTGCGGGCGGCCCCCACAGGCTGTCGGCTTCCTCTCGGCTCGGGAGCCTCATCCGGAACATCACGGCGCTCACCTCCAAGCATGTACGGGCCTCTTGCTCCTCCCGGGGTCTGCGGGCCGGGCCGTTGTCTCTCTCTCAGAGCCCGCCGCTGAGGTGAGGCGGGGGGTCTCGCTGTTCGCCTCCCTCCCGCCAGACCTCAGGGAGAGGGGCGGGCGGTGCGCCGAGCCGAGGGCTGCAGAACCGCCGGTGACTCGGTGCTGCGAGTGCCCGATGTCGTGCTGTTGCCGGGGGCACGATGTGTGGGAGCGGGAATGTGGGTGATAAGGTGTGAGGTTGAAGCACGACGTGTGGCGTTACTGCAGTGAGTTAGGTACACGCTGTTTTTGAGAATATTGAGTCCTACTATGTGAATATGCGTCCTTTTTTTTTATCGTATCTTGTCTCAAAAAGTTACACAGAATTAAGGCAAGTTTAATTTTTTTTTTTTTCTAGGAGGAAGAAAAATTAATCCAGCAGGAAATAACCAGTTTGAAAGCAATGGTTTCTGCCCCAACCACCCCCCTTGTAAGTTCTGCCAGTGGTTGCTGTTGTCCTGCTTCCCCAGCTTCACTTTTGTTGCCCAGTGGAGTGACTGGTTTTTTACTGTATAGCTGCTAAGTCGTTGACATGAGATAGTGCCCATGTGAGTGAGTTTGCAGTGTGGTTGAACAGTTAGAGAACTGTGATTTTGTTCTTTTGCCTCATATATAATGATAACTTAGAATGATGTAGTGACTGGTTAAAAAATGCGTTAGCAGCAAGATTGTTTAACGCTTCAAATAAGTCAGTAACTAATTTGGTATTCATTATATGGATGGCAATCAAAACTAGATAACATCTTTGAGGGAGTTATCTGCAGAATTCTGCTGTTGTGCTCAAAAATCCATGTTGAGTCACAAAAATGTGTTCACAATGGAAAAATGAGGATTAATCTCATGTTAGGGAACTTACAGGAATGTTCATATGTTCCTATTGATGGCTTGCGCTTTGTTAGAGCAGTGAAGAGAGGTATGAAGCAAGACTGAAGATCTTCAATAATTTATTTTTGTTCTTTTAGAGACTGATGAAAGAATGTATGGTGAGGCTCATCTATTGTGAAATGCTGGGATATGAGTCTTCCTTTGGATATATCCATGCAATCAAGCTTGCACAGCAAGGGAATCTTTTGGAGAAAAGAGTTGGTATGTGTACGTGGCTGTAGCCTTAATATTTTCAAATCATGTTGTTAAAATTGCTTAGAAGAATTTGTAGTTCATGTAGAAAAACAACTTATTTAAATTATTCTTTTGGCTTTGTTGCCCTGTTTCATGGTCTGTCCTATTTCTGAAAGTAACTAAATTCCTAGTTTGTGAGTTTGAGGAGGAGGCAGGAGGGAAGAGAAATAACTTTCAGTCATCAGTTCTTTCAGTGTTTTGAGTTTCAGCACTAATAAACAGGTCATTTACCACAAATATGGTTAAAAACCAACTCCAAACTACAGACGAGTTTCTCCCAGGGTCTGCCTTTTTTTTTAAGAATTCTAATACAAAATAAGAGGGAAACTGTGAATGGCACAATTTCCACAAACATGGTACTGCCTTCCCAGCATTTCAGTTACAGATAACTTTTTAGAGTTTGTATAAGGAGCTTGGGGCCTCCTTGCTAATGGCCGTAAAGTGTTCTGTTGTCTGTTTTGGTGATGATGTTATTCTTTAGTTTAGAAACAGCTGTAGGAAGTGAGTCAAACTGGGAGATCCTTAGAATATAGGTGCACAAGTTCTTGAGGAAATCTGAAAGGCTACTTCAGATTTCTTTGAAACTTCCTGGGACTGATTTCCTTGCCCTGCCAGTTTGGCTATAGAATTTCTTCCATTAGATGTTGTTTGAAGTAGCAGTCAGCCTGTCTTGTCTGGAGAATTTTCTAGCAGTTGCTGATTCAACTGCCTAGTGAAGACATTTCTTCTTGTTTGCAGAGAAAATGGTTTAACTCCAAGCAATGCCATGTCTGCATACACAGAAGGAAGGCAGTGTCTTGCGAGATATGCTTGTTTGATATCCTTTGTTTGAATTCCATCTGGATCATCTACTCAAGTGTTGAAGTTTCTGAGAAAATGCCTTACAAGTGATGATTTAAAGTTGCTTTTTCCCTGAGTAATGAAAGCCAGTGCACAGATGCTCTGGTAGTGATTAAGAAAGTTAATCTTCACCAAACCTGGGAGGGCAGGTGGTAAGCTGATTTGAAGAAAACTTTATATGACCTCTGTAAGTGTCAAGAACTGGTGTGTCTTATTATTAATCAGTTTGAGACCTTTCCATACTAGGACTTCATTTAAGTAGGCTTTGGTGAAGCAGCGTTTTTTAATGAAGGTGTCTTAAAGTTCTCCAGACACAAAGAGCTCTTAAGCTTTGATCTGATAATAAGATGTTATTGAGAGTATATGTGGGTTGGTTGTTTATTTTATTCTGCAGTTAAATGTGATACATAAGTTGATCTTATCTGTTCTTGTTGCCATATGCCAAAGTCTTTATTAAAGAATTGTTGTCAGCTGATCCGATCATGATGCATTACTCTCTTTCTCTGTATTAGCCTGAATAAATTCCTACAGGTGTGCTAAACTGATTAAGTGTAGTTTGACAAGCAGATAGATTCAGGTATCTGATAGTCCAGACAGTGCAATTTGGCCTAGGTTGCTCATTTTGATCTTTAAATTCTAAATGAACCAAGCCCTTCCTGACCGAGAACCATCCCTAAGACAAATAGTTGCACCATATTTCTGAGTAATGGCACACTCTTCAAGGCTCTGTTTTTACTCCGTTAGTTTAAAATGAAGAAGGATTTATTTTTCTGAAGGAAAGGTTTCTGGCACGTTTCTTATCTGGAGTTTGAAGTTTTTCTTCTGTATTGTTAAGTAACAAGGGAGTTTTGGCATAGGAAAGGAAAATAATTTTATATTCAACTCTGAGTACAGAATTATATTTGAAACTCTAATTGTTGAAGAAAGAGAAACAAATGTGAGGAAGTGCATTTGCAGTGTAGGAATGTGATTTTGTCAGCAGAGAAGACATTCACTTTCCAGGAATTGCTTTCTCCTGATGGTCTTGGATGTTCTTTAGCTCTAAACAGTATTGTATTTCTCACAGGGTGTGGTTTCTTGGCTATTATTTATTGAGCTTTATTGCAACTTAAAAATGTTTGCTTGGAAATAAAAGAAAGTCCTGATATTTAAAACATGAGCTACTGTCATCCAGCAATGGCTTATTCATTTTTTTTAATTGCTTGAATTAACTCATCTTGTATTGCAGACAGGATTCAGTTTTCTATCTTGAAGTTACATACTTATTGAGTAGTAATGGAGGCTGCTTTCTTTTATAGGTTACTTGGCAGTTTCTTTATTTCTCCATGAAAATCATGAACTGCTACTTCTGCTTGTGAACACAGTTGTGAAGGTACAGTGTTTTTGGAGGTTTGGAGGTAATCTAACCTTGGACCACTTCTTCCTAATTTGTCATACAATATCTCAGCTGTGTACTCAGGTTATATCTCAAGCTCTTAAAGTTCCTGTTTCTTTGGTTAGATCAGAATTTGAAATAGTTTTCCTTAGCTTTTTTTGTTTAATCTCAGTGCCTCTTTTGTTGAAGCCATAGTTTTAAAATTGTAAACAAGTGATACACCATAAAAATCCATTTAGAAGATATACTGTTTGTATATATTCTAAACTTCAGAAGGAACTATGCATGCATATTTCAGTGTGGAAGTTTACTTTTAGTTGACAGTAGGTATCTGTTAGCTTCTTTGAGTTCTTTTGATTGTTTTGATAGAAACTGGAAATATGTTTTGGAGTGACACTGAGAATCCGTCACAAAGTGATGTTTCATAGTCTTCTATTACAGTACTACCTCTCTCAGTTATCAGTTCTGACTTTTTATGTAAAGATTACTTTTATGTTACAGTAAGCTCAATTGTAGACTGAAAATCCTGCTCATTTTACTGTTGTGGTAGAAAGCTTTTATAATCCTTAAAAATATAGTTTGAAATTGGTGTTGTGGAAGGAAGTGAGAAATGAGAGTCCACAAGGAACTAAACCAAAACAAGCACCAAACTATCTGTGGCAAACAGCCTGAATGAATAGTGCTGTGAGCTGGACATCTTAAATGTGTTTAATTTGTTCTGAAAAAGGATTCTGGTCTTATTTCGTGACTCCATCTGTGTTTGTATGGTGTGGAGTTTTTTTTTTGGTATTAGGTTACAATGAGCTGTACATTCTGGTTTTAGTTGTATTGGGGACAGATTATGAATTTGCATTCTCTTCTGAGGGTGTAGGTAATAAGTTAGTGTAAAAATATGTAACTGCCAATATCACTGGGCTTGCTAGTATTCTCTTTTTAAATTCTTTGAGCTAGATGAAAGGCAATGGAGAGAGTACTATTGACTTCAGTATGAAGTATGACTCATCTCATTGATTCAAGTGGGAGCTTGGCATAGTTTCATAATGATCAGACTGTTTCAGTAAGCAAATGTTGACTGTAGATCTGTTGAAATCATGTACATTTAAAATATGAATGTAGCTCCATAATGAGAGTGTGAGGAGCTCCTTATTTCTGTATGAAAGAAAAGAGCTTGGTTAGCTCAGTCAGAGCTGACATTTCTCAAACACAAACAGACAACAGGCTGATTACCAGCAGGTTGCTTGCTGTAGTGGGCTAGATCCAGCCTGCTGGCAAAAGGTGGGGTGTCTGTACAGAACTTAAGTCTACATGAAAAATGATGGTCTTATTTCAATGATTACAATAGGACTTACAGAGCACTAATCTAGTAGAAGTGAGCATGGCGTTAACCATTGTCAGCCAGATCTTTCCACGGGAGATGATTCCAGCTGTTCTTCCCTTAATAGAAGACAAGCTCCAGCATTCTAAGTACGTATACATTTACAGAATTGCATGTGGCCTTGTAAGGTTGACTGACTTAATTTTGTAGGAGGTTTTTGTAAACTGATGTTTTTTTCTCTAATTTGGCCTTTTTAGTCATTACTTTCAGAAATGGTTCCTTTCCATTTTTCTCTTGTATTCTTATCTTGTTTATTTATACTCTTTACAGAGTAGTGTGTAGGTATTCATTTCTTCTATAACTGCTTTGAATAGGTCAATATAATTTATCTTGTCTGCTGGACTCCTTTTAGTGAATACATCGGTGAAGGTGTATTTGTACAGTATATGGAGAATCAGATGGGGATCCTTGTACTTCACTGGTGCTTCTTTTCTATGAAAATCTTTATTGAAGCTTTATTGGTAAAAGAGTATCTGAAGAGTTCCAAAACCTTTATTTGTTATTTATCATTCCCCTACCCAGAAGATGAAATATTATAAGTGTTGTACTAATTAGAAGGCTGTAAGAAACAGCAGAGTCATTCTGTAACTCCTAGACTTTTTCTTTGGAGCTGCACATGTGACCACAGTGGATTTGTAGTTGTGAATTTCGTGGTTTATCTAGTGGCTGTGTTGGTGAATTGTCATCTGACATTAGACACCACTCAATTCTCAAGTTAGCTGTGTTGCTTTTTCACTTAGATGCTATTTACGAAGTCATTCAGTCACAAAACTGAAAAGCATGGATTCCCCTCTCTCCCTGTGTCATGCTGTTCTGATGGCTGATCCTGTAATTCTACTTTGCTGTAGAAATGAGAATAAGTTTTCTATTTTTCTGAGTCAAGTTCTTGAAGTACACAACATTGGGTTTTGATTTGTGAAAATCTCATTTTTTCTTCAGGGAAATTATCCGAAGAAAAGCTGTTCAGGCTTTGTATAAATTCTATCTCATTGCTCCTAACCAAGTACAGCATATTCATGATAAGTTCCGGAAAGCCTTATGTGACAGAGATGTTGGAGTCATGGCTGCTTCTTTGCATATTTATCTTGAAATGATTAAGGTAGGCAAAGAATTGTATCTCAGAGCTACTTATGTATCTTTTATTTTAAGCATTTAGTGTACTGTAGTTTTGTAGCAAAATATTACTCCTAATTGGTAGAAAAGTTACTTCTCATAACTTAGTGATCACAGAATCACAGAATTACCAGGGTTGGAAGGGACCTCAAGGATCATGAATCTCCAACCCCCCTGCCACATGCAGGGCCACCAACCATTCCACCTATTGATAGACCAGGCTGCCCAGGGCCCCATCCAATCTGGCCTTGAACACCTCCAGGGATGGGGCATCCACAACCTCCCTGGGCAGCCTGTTCCAGTACCTCACCACTCTCTCTGTAAAGAATTTCCCCGGACGTCCAACCTAAATCTCCCTTCCCTCAGCTTAAAACCATTTCCCCTTGTCCTGCTGTCACTCACCCTTTCAAAGAGTTGATTTCCCTCCTCTTTGTAGGCTCCCTTTAGGTACTGAAATGCTGCAATGAGGTCACCCTGCAGCCTTCTTTTCTCCAGGCTGAACAAGCCCAGCTCTTTCAGCCTGTCTTCATAGGAGAGGTGCTCCAGTCCCCTGATCATCTTTGTGGCCCTCCTCTGGACCCTCTCCAACAGCTCCCTGTCTTTTTTGTACTGGGGATTCCAGACCTGGACGCAGTATTCCAGATGGGGCCTCACAAGAGCAGAGTAGAGGGGAACAATCATCTCTCTGTCCCTGCTGGCCATCCCTCTTTTGATGGAACCCAGGATCCCATTTGCCTTCCGAGCCGCAAGGGCACACTGCTGGCTCATGTTAAGTTTTTCATCTATCAAGACCCCCAGGTCCTTCTCCA